CTCTATCCAGGGTGACAGAATGAGACTCTTTCTTGAAAAATTAAAAAAAAAAAAAACTCATGAGATGAAATATATTTACTATCTATAAGAGGAAGTGGATCATCAGGAAGTTCCTCATCCTGGTGTCTTCACACTGGGAGGAGGAGGCAGGATTGCTTTTGCTAATTTTCCTGTCAGCAGAAGGTAGCAATCTTCTCAGTGCCCCTGTACCATTCACACTTGTGTTGTTTAATGGCAGTGGTAGAATTTCTTATACAATAGTTATATAGATGCTAGATTTGAATGATAAAAATTAATGATACTTTAGCTGTATTCTTGACAACTTTGGCATGTCTTGAATAAAGGCAGGACACTTACAAAATACAGATATTGATCCAGGTACCAAACTAAAACCTACGTCAAGCTGTAACTCAAGGAACATGTGCCGTAAGATATTTGTTTTCATTTATGTGGCAACGAAGTTAACATTTAAGCAAAATGAGAATGAGAATAAAATTATCAGTCACTTGAAACTGAAAGAGTACATTTAGTGAATTAAAGCATTGTTTTTTAAAAATTAAATTCCTTGTTTTTTAATATCAAATTTCCAAAAATCTAGCTATATTGGAGTTGGATATTTCAAAAGGGTAATTAAAACTCTCTCTAATGAAGAAATCCTTTCTATAAAAATGTTCTGTTGAAAATTATTATCTATACCAAGTGCCTATTTCATCAATTTAAAACTGCATTTTGAATGCTCATGTACAGTAAGACATATTCTACCAGCCAACCTAAACCCATTCAGTGGGCTGAGCCTTTCCCCAGAAGACATTTCTAAGGTAATTATCTTTCTAGAATTCCCCATTTATATAACGCTATTTTTAGTTAGTCTTTAAGTTATTTGGGATTTGCAAAATTAAAAAAAAAAACTTTTATTTAAAATTTCCTTCTATCCATTAAAGTAGGGAAAAGGATATATTTGTCTAGATTTACTCAGAACTTATCTGTACATGTATGCAGGGCAAATTATCTTTTATGATTTTTAGTCCTTGAGATTTTAATTTACATGAGGAATATTTTCATGTTCTAGGTTTTAGTTAGTGCAGTTTAAATGCATCTAGATGTGCATATTTGTTGTAATTCCATTACTCCCATTTTACAGAACATATGCAATTAATATAATATGGAACCGAGTTAAAGAATTTTATGTTTTAAATTTCATTCTACTTTTAATTTTAGAATTAAAAACTAAAGAAGAATATTTGTGTGCATTTCACAATAGTCTTTATAAAAATTTTATCCAAAAATTATCTTGTAGATCCATAAGATTATATAGTTAATAACAGAGATGTCTGAAATCTCCTTGTCTTTCAGTGAATTTGGAAATATACTTTTAAATAAATAAAATGTATCACAGGACTTATGCATAGTTACTAGGTTTGGATGATGGATACTAGTAATGTTTAGTTGTATTCTTGACCACAATTAATATGCTTCCATAAAATCTAGATGACTACAAATTTTTTAAATGAAGTTTTAAATTTTTCTCATAAACATTCTACTGATTAAAAGTATGATATACAGATACATACTGCATGATTTCACCTTTAGTTCCACCACTTCCTAATGGCATGACTTTGGGCAAAATCAGAGTAGTTTAATGAATTAAATGAATGAATCCACCCAATCATTCAGGAAGTAATTATAGAACACTACTGCAGTGAACAGTGGTGCTCTGGGATTAGGCACAGAGGGGTGAACAGGCAAAGCAACTGCTTCCAGGTTTTCATTCTACCAAGGGGAGACAGATAATCAATGAACACATGTGTCAAATATGGCAGGTGGTGATGTTAGGGCAGAAAACAAAGCCGTGCTCCAAGACGTCAAGAGAGCTGTGCTGAGACTGGGTGGCCTTTCGGTGGTGGGTAGGGCAGCAGGGCCGTGTTTGGGAAGAGAACAGTAGAGGCAAAGGCTTGAGGGAGTCCGGGGGGCTGGTGCACAGCGAGGAGGGTGGTGCGATTTCAGCTAAAGAGAAATGGGAGAGAAATCCTGAATGACTGCTAAAGCCAGTCCATGCTCAGCCCTGTAGGCCGTGTAATGTGACTTGTGCTTTTCTTTTAGATAAAGGAATGGGAACTGAGTGGGTCTTAGAAGAAAAACAGCATAACAGTCAGTCCATTAAAAATCTGTTTTTGCGAGAAGTGGTGGTGTATACGTGTAGTCCCAGCTACTTGGGAGACTGAGGCTAAGGATCCTTTGAGCCCAGGAATTCACAACCAGCCTGGGCAATGTCTCAAGACCTTATCTCAAAAGAAAACTATTTTAACTCTAACTATACCCTACGTTATTAACTGTGGTCACTATGCAGGGTGCTAGATCACTAAAAATATACTCCTGTCTAGATGAAACCTATTATGTGATCAGCATATCTATACCACATACCTATACACATGCATGCATAGATCAAACATACAATAGCATTTTGTACCCCATGTATATACACAATGATTATTTCCTGATTAAAATAAACAAATAACTATTCCTTAAAAATTACTTTGCCTGCTAAGTAGAGAAGAGAATCCAGGACAGGATACACAGCAGACCTATCCATTCAGAGGTTACTGCTGTGGTCCCAGGGGGCCCTGACATTCTCAGTGCTGACTGTATTGCACCTCTGAGCTGTACACCATGGTGGTTACTACTTGCATGTTGTCACCGAGCACTCAATTGTGGCTAGTATATCTGAGGGGTTACATTTATAATTTAATTTAATTTAAAAACTGTAATTGTAATTTAAATAGCTACATATGGCTTGGGGGTACTGTGTTAGACATTGAAAATCATCTACGAAGAATGTTTGTGAAATACTTGGCACATAGTGAGTGAGGATTCAACAAAAATTATCTTGTTTCACTGCAATTTCATAATTAATGAAACTGAACTACATTTGTAGTTGAATCCAAAGCCTTTTACACATAATAGACAACTGTATATAATGTTTGTAATAATAATTAATAGTATTGAAAATTTAGGTATGATTCTCTAGAGAACAGAACCACTACGTTGTGTCTGCGGGTGTGTGTGTGTGTGATCAAGATATACCGTGCACAATTGTGGAAACTGGTAGCCAGAGTTCAGACTGGAGACTCAGGAAGAGCCTATGTTCCAAGTAAATGGCTGGGATTTCAGGGAAGCATAAACTATATAACTAATACTTATAAAATCAAGATTAAACCTTTATAGAGAAGAGTTGGTGTCAGGGTCACATGCCAAGCAAAAACAAAACTCTGAAATGGACAGGAATGATCTGAGAAAGCTAAAGTTGACTTCAACAATTTTGAGAGAATTTTGTAGTAGATGAGGACAGGAACGGTTCATGAAAATAATTTAGTACACAAAGTAAAAAAAATGGTAGTGGAAATAATATGTGGATGAGGACTGATTTTCCTGTCCTGTGTCTGGAACGGAGAATTATCGTTAGGGTTAGAAGAGTTCAATTCTGCAATCCCCTGTTGAGATATTAGAGAAGGCACTGCATTGTGGGATGAGAATTGGAGTCCACCACACCTCGTCCTTTGCTGGATATTTTAAAAACATTCTCAGGATGCTAACAATTCTGTAGATAATGTAACCCTTAAGTTCAGACTTCATCTGCAACACTGGCTCTTCCTGCTCCCCCAGAAGACTGCCCTTGCACTCAAACTGTGACTCTTTCTGGAGTCTGCAGCCTGCTGACCTCCCCCATCAGACTTTGGTCTCACCACACTTCCATAATCACAGGAACCAAGTCCTTAAAACAAATCTCCTTCTTCATATATACACATCCTCCTGGTTCTGTTTCTCCGGAGATCCCTGACTAACACAATGTATAATTATTAAATTAAATAAGATTATATAAATATAGTTTACCTCAAGTAGAGTTAAAATCATAATTATTAAAATTAAGAATATTGACATATGCTTACTTAAGTGAAAGATAAATTTATAAGCTGCAATATATTGTTAATTCTGCCATCAAATTAAAAGAATTATGTTAGCTATGAGGTATAATTTAGCAGATTAACATGAATTACACTATAAGTTTTATGCTCAACAAAATTATATATTAATTGATTTTCTAAGCTCCTTTAGTACAGGATATATATCCTGTATTTCATCTGGCATCATAATTATATAACGAAGAAAAAACATTCTTCATATTTCTAATAATTTAACAGTAATATATTGAAATTGAATGGATGAAATTTATATGAGAAATAACTTGTATTTAATATTTTAATATATTTGCTTTGAAAATTCATTGCTCTGACAGCAAAAACTTCTACATAATTGGGTAGATATGATTTTGGTACTTTTATATAGAACATTTATCCTAGTGTATATCAGAATTTATCAGAATTACTCTTTCATGGAAACAAAAGTGAACAAACATCAGTTTATTTGTCTATTTTTTAAGAACTAGTCTTTCAAATCATGGTCCCATAAATGTATTTATTCATGGAATATTAATAACTGATACCACAGGACTTCAATTTCCATGGATACATTTGCTCAGATGGTCTGACTGTGATATATTGCAAAAATAATCATTTCCTAATGATTACAGCCTGTATGAGTGATGTAAGCGTATGAGAAAACATGTGTGGTTTTAGGAATATACTTCAAAAAACAGAGTGAATTGCTAAAATGTGAAAGGAAATTAAAATTATTCAGTTAAATCTAAGGGCAATGTGTCCTTCAAATAGCATAAAACCTGAAAAATTTCTTCCAACAGTAATGAATTTTCCTTTCTAAAGATAACGAAAGACTAGATTTCGGTTTAAGTAAACATAAAATACAGACTGTATCTCACTAAATGGCTTGTGTACTTTTGAAACCTTTGGTCGCTAGGGAAAATTCTGGACCTTGTCTTATTTGTTGCTTGTAATGCTTGGAATTATTTTCACAACACCTCAGGCAGTGTAGGACTCTGACAACTTTGTTATCCTCTGTGATAATTACCCAGTTTGGCAGGAGGGAGTGGGTATGACTTGCATTTTTCTTCTGGTTCATTTTGGTGACAGAGCTCACCAGACTTTCAGGATTGGGAAAGCATGACGTGTGCTTGTGACAAACAGCAGTGATCCAGGCAGAAGGAAAGGGGACGGGCGGGCCACTGCGCTCACCAGAGTAACAGGGACACCAGGAGCCCTTTCTGTACTCTGGGCAAGCCCAGCCCACACTGCATTCCATAAGGATCACTAAAAACAGGTGGGCAAACCTGGTTTCTCTCCTAAGCTATATGAAAGTTAGCAGGCCATGAGTATATCGGTAGCAAATATTGTGTAAATGTCAATATAATTTTTATTCAAACCATTCTCGTTTTTACTCTTAATATATTATCAAACTGATAGCATTTCAACTTCCTATTTTGTCTTTCTCCTCTCCTATCCAACTGAAGTGTTTATTCCTAATTGTTTTGTAGTAGAACACCATGAGTTACTCCTGCCAGACTATATGATACCACCCAAAATGATGCCTTTGGACTTCCAATCATTGGAAAGCATAGCATGAGAGTTGTAATACAAGATGTGAACTTTACCCATGGTCCACGAAGAAATACCTTGTCTATGTGTCTTAACAATTTCACCCATGAAACTTTATTTTGAAGAAGATTCTCATATTTTATTTTTTAAAATTTTTTCTACTGATTTTTTTTTTATTAAATCATAGCAGGATACATTAATACTATCATGGGGTACAGTGTACTCTTTCTGTATACAATTTGAAATACTTTCATCCAAATGGTTAACATAGCTTTCATGTCTTTTTCTTAGTTATTGTGTTAAGACATTTATATTCTACAATTAGATTCACATGTATCCTCCTTACAGGGTGAACCATAGGCATGATCTCACCAATCACCCTCCGTCCACCCACCCTCCTCCTCCCTTCCCTCCTCTCCCCATATACTCAATCCTACTATGAAACTAATTTATAGCTTTCATAGGAAAGCTATAACCCAATTTTAGCCCAGGAATATTGGGATTCTCATATTTTTTAAAAAAAATTTTCAACTGGAAACTTCTACAGCAATTTTTAAAGTTTCTCTTGAAATGCCTAACAGCTGCCATTGACCAGGTCACAAAATAAAGATAAATTTATCATAGATTTTCTTTGTGTATATATTTTAGTACAATAACTTATCTTTAATATAATATCTTCTATCTTTTAATATAAGACAGTTATATTGCTAGTAGTTTGCTTTCTTTCTTTTCTTTGTTTGTTTTTTGGCTGTTTGATATTTATCTAAAATGAAACTTTGTGAGTAAACTAAACTTTGATAAACATTGGGATTTGAGTACTTTTTTATTTACTTCAATTTATTGGTAGTCATCTAAAATTGGGCTCTGATTGTTGCAAAAGATAGAAAAACTGCAGCAAAAAATGATTTGAAAGGACAGAATAAGGCCAAGGAAAGGTTCCTCCTTTTAACAATACTTGCTACTTTTCTTAAAGAACAAAACAGTCATTTTTTTACATTTTCTCTTTGTCAAGATGCAGTCTCTGGATAATTATTGACTATATTACTTATTCAAAATATGCTTCCTTTAATATAGAGTTTCCAGATGAAAATTTCAAACTCATGACTAGAGAAAGCAACTTTATTTAAAATCATTTTTTCTCCTATAGAATAAGATACCCCTGCTAATATAAGAAAACTGAAATATTCAGCCTCTTTCCTAAGTTAAGAAATATAAAAACAAAACTTTCAATGAACAAGACATAATCAACATGGTTCCCCAAACTCAGCCTGGAGAATCCCTGGATTTAGAGAAGCTGGATGGTAATAACATGGTCTGTACCTTTATTTTTTTTTAGGACATTGTTCATTGAATAGGAAAAAGAAATTAAAGTAATTTCTCTATGATTCCAGAATTTATTTTGTTTTTCTTTATTACGAATACATTATTTGTTGTACATGTTAGAATAAACTTTCTTCTTTTTTTAACTTCAAATTAATATGAGGCTACCAATTTTCAGATAATACTGTTCTCACTTCCAAGGTAAAGTTCTAGTTATAAAAGAGCCCCTCACCTGGGGGCGTGGCCTACACTCGTGCACTATGCCCATTCCCCTGAGATCCTGCTGAGTGTCCTCCCTCCTTCTGCTAATTATTTTTTCCCATTCCGCCTCCCCACAAGCTAGACTATATCTATATTTTATTATTCATATAAGCATATAATTGTTTATATGTTGGTTTCATAATCAGTACTGAGTACATTGGATATTTATTTTTCTCTTATTAAGATAATTTACTAAGAAGAACGTGTTTCAAATCCATCCAGGTAAACATAAAAGATGTAAAGTCTCCATCTTTTTTATGGTTGAATAGCGTTCCATAGTATACATACACCACAGTTTGTTGATCCCTCTATCCATGGGATGATGGGCATTTGGGTCGCTTTCTTGACTTGGCGATTGTGATTGAACTGCAATAAATATTCTTGTGCAAATATCTTTGTGGTAAAATGTTTTTTGTTCTTCTGGGTAGATACCTACTAATGGTATTGCAGGATCAAATGGAAGGTTTACTTTTATTTCTTTGTGCATTCTCTATGCTTTTTTCTGTAAAAGTTGTATTAGTTTACAATCCTACCAGTGGGGGAAGTGTTCCCTTCTCTCCACATCCATGCCAACATCTGCAGTTTTTGAAGTTTGTAATATGTGCTAATCTTACTGGAGTTAGTGATATCTTAGAGTGGTTTTGATTTGCATTTCTCTGATGATTAATGACAATGAGTATTTTTTCATATGTTTGTTGGCCATTCATCTGTCATCTTTGGAGAAGTTTCTGTTCAAGTCTCTTGCCTACACAGAAATGGAATTGTTTGCTCTTTTTGTTGATTAATTAGAGTTCTCTGCATATTCTAGCAATCAGGCCTTTGTCAGATTTGTAACACATAAAATCTTCTCCCATTCTGAAGGCTGTTTGCTTTGTTTGCAGTAGCCTTAGCTTTATAAAATTCAGGATATGGATGGCAAATACGATGACTGGAAAGGAGGGAAAGATGGAAATAGAAAACTCAAACACAAATCAGAAGTTGTCTCAAGAAATTAATGAATTCAAAGACCTAGTTGCCAAGGATATGGACATAGTGAGAAAGGATATAGCAGAGCTTAAGGAATGGAAAAAGGCATTTGAGGATCTTCAAAACACAATTGAGACCCTCAGAAATAGAGTTGAACAGAGAGAAGAAAGAATCTCAGAAATTGAAGACAAGAATTTTGAACCATCCCAAGCATTTGAAGAAGCAGAATAAAGGAAGACAAGAACAAAATGTTCCCTGAGAGAATATAAAAAGTCTAAATCATAGAGATCCTTGAAGGAGCAGAGAATGGTCCCCAAGGAACAAATGCTCTACTCCAAGAACTGCCCAAGTATTATGAGAGAAACAGAAATTCAGAGAGTAGATAGTGTGATTCATTCCAAACAAGTATCTCCTAGACACGTTGTAATTAATTTTGCTGCTGTTAATATGAAAGAGAAAATCCTGCAGGCACTGAGGCATAAGAAAATTATTGCTTACAAAGGGAAAAAAATATCAGGATGATTTCAGATCTTTCAGCTGAAACTTTTTAAGCCAAAGAGGATGGTCACTGACTGTCAATCTTCTTAAACAAGATGATTTTCAGCCCAGGATCCTATATCCCATTAAATTGAGTTTCATGTGTGATGGAGAAATTAAGTATTTACTGACATCCGTATGTTGAGGAAATTTGCCATAACTAGACCAGTTCTACAGGAAGTGCTCAGACCCAGTCTTCATAATGACCCGCACAGTGTTCGGCCACCAAGGTAAACTTGCCAGGAATTTAAGAACAGAATCTAGCTTCCACGATGATGACAGGGATAAAAATAAGCTCTGAACTCTGAAAAACAAGATGACCTAAACTCCACCATACCTGTCAGTTCTCTCACTAAATGTGAATGGCTTGGATTCCAGAATTTCCAGTGAAGCTAAAAACCAAACATGACCAAGGCTCTGGAGTGGCACTAAAGGAAGATCTACTTGGCCAAACCCAACACGGAAGCCCATTGTGTCATCTGCCCAGTGAATCTTTATAGGGCAGAAAGAAAACTAAGGGAATGTAGTGTTTTAGGTTTAAAAGTATATATTTTCAGTATGTAGTTAATATTGTATTTTCTGGGTTAACAAACCATTTCTCTAGTTCCTTGGCTAATTCAATATTTCTTGGTCTGATTGAGTAAAGACATGTATAAGTGATTTATCATAAGTTTATTTGTTAAGAGTTGAGGGGAAAAATATTTTTCTTACACAAGGTTAAAGGATAAAGCCTAGAGCAGTAAGTTTGCTTGAAACTAATTTATCAACTTCCAACTGTTTTCTTTGGCTATTTCAGGATGAAGCTCTGAGACATGGCTGGTATACTATATTTCTCTCAGCATAAATGTGACTCTATTGTGAAAATGAAAATTTTGTCTAAATCATTCCCTAACGCCTTCAGGTAATTAGATTCACAGAACATTTTTTTTTTACTCTGAACCAGTGCATTGACTCATAAAGACACAGTTAAATAAATTTGAAATACTTTATTTTCTCCCTCATGTAACATATATATATATAAAACAAATTCTATAACATGGTATATACATTAAATGCAAAGAAATTTTAACTTTTGGCGTAATTTATTGGATAAAAATATTTGACTATAAGGGAGTTTACTCTTATTGAGAGATTATATTCTATTTGAATGAAAACATAGCTTGTTCTCATTAAATTTTAATTCTCTTAATTAAATGAAAAATTTTATTTTAACAGTAAAAATATTATAATAATTATATAATTGTAATTTTAATATTATATTTACTTTTATAATTACATTTTGTGAATTGTTGGTTGTCGTACATGAAACAGATTTCTGTACACTTTTGTCCTGAACCAGAACCAGATGATAGCAGAGAATGGTAAACTATAAGGAATACCAGCAGGGAACTGAATTCTGCCAACAACTGAAAGGAACAGGGAATGGGTTTTCCCTGAGAGCCTCTAGAGAGAAACGTCAACACCTTGACTTTAGCCAGATAAGACCCATGTCAGACTTCTGCCCCACAGAACTATTATGGTAATAAATTTGTGTTGTTTAACTGGTACCCTGGTGGTAGTTTATCATGCAAGCAATAGAAAACTAATATAGGCAGATAAAGCTTGGTAAGGAAGAATTGACCCAGAGACATCAATACCATCTGTCTCTCTTATTTGTTTTTTTATTAATTACTGACTCAGGCCTGGTCTTGATTTCCAACAAGTTTACCATCGTAGAGCGGTAAGTGAGGATGCCTGGGCCAGGGCTACTCTCCCAGCAGATTTAGCGATATTCTTTGTTTTCTTGATGAAAATATCAGCAAGTTTCTATACAAATTCTATACAAAAGCGTATAGTATTTGTGCTGAAGGATAGTAAGAAATAAAATTGGTAGATTGAGAGAAACAAAGTTTAGGGTAAAACCGGAAACATTGTGGGGTGTTTAGAATTTGGAACTATCAGTCAAATTACAAAATGCACTGAGCCAAGCATCAGAGAAATTACAGAAATGCAGGACACTGGGCCTGGCCTCATGGAACTCATTTTAATGATCAGGATGACCAACCATGAAATAATGTGTGGCTGGCAGAAAGAGGAAAAGGTATATCTAAGCTTTCACATTTTGAAGAAATAAAAACAATCCTACAAGTATTTGTTGAGTTCATATATCATTACCATAAAGACATAGAGATAGATTTTGGTGAAGCTTGTTGAAAACGGTTAGATCTGGCTGTCACGAAACTTAAGTCTCACACAGGAAACAATCATTAATCAAATAGAGTAGAAACTCAGAATTAACCCCCACTTAACTAGAAAATATGACTTTCTTCTCATGTGAAAGCAATTTTCATATTTTGACATATTTTAAATTAAACCAAAACTAACTTGTTTTCAACTAAAGAAGTAGAATGTAATTTACTGTGGTCACACAGGTGTGATTTTTAATGATATAACATTGTGCTTTTGCAGATATTGGGGTGTACCAAGTATATCCAATACAGTCTGAAGGCTGAAAAGTTCTCTGAGGAAGGAATATAGGAAGTCGTATGTTAAAGATAAGAAATAAAGAAAGAAGGGCTTAGAAAATATAAAAGGCATCCACAGTTGCATGGCTTCCTCTTTTTACTTGGTTTCATTTATTTAAAACCACTGACTCTATTTCTCCCACATTCAAATACTCTGGTAGGCTCTAAAAATATAAAAGATAAATTAGAAAGAATCTCGGCCATGGAGGGAATCTGCCTCTCAGGAGATGTTTGCAGCAGAAGAGCCGTGATCCAGGATGTGTCTACCCCTCATTTCCTTCTCTTGTGTGAGGGATAAAAGCAAAGGCCTGTTTCAGTATCAAATGATACAATGATATGCTGAATATTTTATGGTTTCCAATTTTCTAGTTTTCCCTGGTGTTCACGGAGCATCGAGCATTTTTGGCAAGGGTTTCCCACTCTCTTCAGCAGGTCACTCGTCGCTGATACTGTAACGGCTGAACAGAAGTAGAGCGCGCTCTCTGCAGCTGATTTTTTTTTTTTCAGGTGTTCGCTTTACGGCAGCCCTGATGGGCAGAGAGCTCGCTGCATCTCTGGCTGTTGGCATATGGCATCCAAGAGGACAAGGCAGCCCAGACAGCCCATCAGATTAACCATGTAATAGACCCAGAAGCTGCTTCAAAGCCGTGAAACAAAATTGCTTATGGAGTCTGCCAGCACGCCAGATGCTGCTATTGGAAGAAATATATTCCAGTGCTTAGCATCTGGGTCTCATGGTTGCCAAATAAAAAAGAGAAAAAGAATTGGCAATGCATTGCTGATGAGGTTGCTTTCGCAAAATTAGATTTTTTTATATTTTTTAAAATGTCAGATGCATTATGTTGTAGCAAAGGTTAAACGTAGGTATGTCCATGTCCATGTAGAAGAGGTGCACTATTAACCCACGGCCTCTGCTTGATCCTCAGGCAGCTGGTTGGCTATTATCTAAATAAATCAAAATACTGAGAATCTTGAATTTGGGAATTTTCAGTCTGTTTCCAATATGCTTATTTTATTGGTGTTTTGCATAATAATATTCTTGCCAAAGGAATATAAATTCTATATTTAAACAAGGTAAGGAATGACATTTTCTTATTAGCAATCATTTGTTTGTTTTCTGACTTCAAATTCTATAATTCAATATTATAACTAAAGTTATAACCCCCAAATATTAATCAATTGCTTCTCCCCCCGTTAGAATTTTTTTTTCTAAACTTAATATCCAACATATTTGACTAATATAATTTAAAGCCAATTAGATTTAATCTCTATGCCCACAAGGTCAGCCATTTCTTTGTGGTTTATATAAGTTATCAATATTGTCCAACCTCTGAAGAATAACACCTGATATATTTAGAGCTCTTAAAATTAATACGTATATAGTATGTGCCAAAAATAATTTGTGTTAGCTCTCTGATCATAACTACCAGAACGTTTTACTTAACTAAGATGATTATTTCTATAATTGCTCACACCAAATTAATTGCACATAAACATTGAATAAAAGAATCCCAAATTTGTAGTTTCCTATGCTGCAATATATAGCTCCTAATATATATGCAATTCCAAAAAACGTATCAATTCTCCACTTTGGCCATAATGGTTATAAGTAAAGCTTGAAATAATTTTAAATCCAAACACCTGATCTTATACCACCAATACAGTCAAAAGCACACTATAAATTGTAAGTATTAATGAAGTAACAATAATTTTTAGTCATTAACATGCAGTTAGAAACAATAAAAGTATGCTTTTTTAGATAGTATAGTCTATAAACTCAGATTATTTTGGGGAGGGGAAATGCTGCTTACCTCTTTAAATGTAATTATAAAAATCATTTGCCAGTTTTCTCAGAGGAATGAATTAGTAGGAAGAATTTTATTGATTCTGAGTTTTTTCCCCACAAATGTCTCTTTAAAGTTCTTTGATTATTAAAAAATAGATCTTCATTGAGGACAATTTTAAAGAATTGCATAGTAGCATGAATAAAATTTTAAATGCATGCACGTAGATGTAATAATTATAAGTTAAGAAATCTGAACTGTGGTTGTACATGAGCGTGGTTGTGTGTGTGTGTGTGTGTGTGTGTGCTTACACATGTGTATGTGTAAAGATATTCATGGTCACATTACTCATCATCATTAAAAAAAAGTAGAAATTACATTGTCTTTATCAATGAGGATAGGTTAATAAATTAAGGTAATTGCATAATGTTGGTTATATCTCTTCTTAATAAAACAAAGTAGATCTATTTGTAATGTTAGAAGAAGAGCATTAAGATATAATATTGAGTAAAAAGAGCAAGATAGATGTATTTCCTAGAATATAATCTCATTTGTGTAAACCAAGTATCTAAATCTATAGCTACAGTTTTATAGACTTACATATGTATAATGGTGTCTCCAGGGATGAAAATAAACTGGTGCTGTTGTTTTCGTGTTCAGAATAAGCATGCATTTACACAGAACATACTACCAGTGCAATTAGGATAGATGTTTTTTGAACTTTGAATTTAAAAGCATAAACCCACTTGCCAGTTTCATTCATTTACTCATTAAGCAACTATTCCTCTGTAAGGACCGCTCAGAGCACTCTGCTGGGGGTGAATGCGCACGGCCCCCAGCGTCAGGACGTGTGAGTAAGTGATGGATAACAAGCAAGTGCAGAAGAGAACACAGTAGGCAAGTGCTACAGTCGATGCAGGAATTAGACCTGCTGGCATCATGATCGATGCTGCTCAGACAAAGTAAGGAAATCTTTCCAGAAGAATAGAATTGTGAGATGAGTCTTGATTGGTGCACAGAAATCATGCCAGACAGGCAGAAGGGATGGTTAGATAGAGGGACAATGAAAAAAAGGTGGGGGGAGCAGCTGAATTGCTTTAAGGGAAAAAATACCAAAGTATGATTTGGCTTTGAGAGACGAGATTAGTGAAGAGGCCCAGGGCTTAAGTTTGAGAAGTCAGGAGGCCCAGATTGTAAAGATCCTGGTTGATTATGCCAAGGAGTTACCTCATCTTGTTACTCCATGAATAATGGAGTTCCTTTAGAAATTTTAAAACCTAAGCCCAGGAATCAAAATGTATTATTAGAAAGATCACTATCTTGACAGATTGAAAAATAAATTAGAGTAGATTAGAATAGAAAAGAATGCATAAGAAGAATCTAGCAAGCATGGTATTTATGAGGCTATTTCAATGGTCATTGTATGAGTAATTGAGGCTGGTTCCTGAGTGGGGTGGAGGTAGTGGGAGTGGTGGTGTTGTTATTTCACAGTTTTTAAGCAGCAATAAAATGATAGGCCTTTCTGTCCATGTTTTTAAAGGGATTCATGATTTCACATACTCTGTACATTTCTCTGTATGTATATGTGTTTGTTAAATTTATGTAGTTAGTAATTGTTATTGTATGTTTCATGCTTGATAGCTGTTTATTCAATTTCATGTGTACCTTCATATAGATATATGCATAATTTATGCTTTGTTGTATAATGTGATATGTGTACATATTTGGCCCTTTAGTTATACATGCAGCATTCGTAGGCTCACACACACACACGTATGTATTAGCTGTAAGCCTTTACTTTATGTATATGTGCATATATATTTAATATATATCAAATCATATCAAGTAAATACCAAGTTTGGAATGTCAGAATTAAAATGAAGTAATTATAAATTTTTTGCTTTACTATTCCAATGATAACATCATTAAAATGACATTAAAATGTTTAGAAAAGGAGGAAAAGAATAAGAATTGCCCTTATTAATAAGATGAGAAAAATAAAATAACCTTAAAACCTAAATATTAGGCTCGGCGCCTATAGCTCAACCGGCTAGGGCGCCAGCCACGTACACCTAAGGTGGTGGGTTCAAATCCCCAGCCTGGACCCGCCAAACAACAATGATGGCTGCAACCAAAAAAAATAGCTGGGTGTTGTGGCGGGCGCCTGTGGTCCCAGCTACTTGGGAGGCGGAGGCAGGAGACTCGCTTAAGCCCAGGAGTTGGAGGTTGCTGTGAGCTGTAATGCCACAGCACTCTGCCCAGGGGGACAGCTTGAGGCTCTGTCTCAAAAAAAAAAAAAAAAAAAAAAAAAAAACCTAAATATTAGATGTCTTTAAAATCAATTGCAAAATAGATTGATAACTGGCAAAACCAGAATGCGTTTTAAAACTAAACTCAAAGTTTCTGCATAGAGAAAGTTGTGTATTTCTTAGAAATTTACTTAATACCTAATATCTGATTGCTCAGATGAGATTATTTCTTGGCTTAATATACAATATTTCTATATCTATCTCACAATTGTTTTTTATTTTTCTTTTGACTATACCAGTGGCTTAATGTCCTATGATTTATTCTTTTCTTTCTACTATTAAATCTGGTTTTGACAAAACCTACTATCGTTTATGTAAAATCTCATCGTGTCAGGGAGCCACTATTGTAAGGACTACGAGGGCAAATGCTATTATTTCTATCACACAGATGAGGGAACCAAAACATAGCAAGCTGAAGAAATGAGCCAAAAATTATAGACGACTGGTGAGCAAGCCAGGGTTTAAATCAATAGTAATCTGATTCCAGCCCAATGTTCTTTCCACTGTACTGTGTTAACTGGTTTAAAGCAAATTTAATTAAGAATGTGATCATACATTTTCATGACAAAAGTTGGTCAGTTAACTAGATCGACATTCAAAAAAGAAAAACTTGGTTATTTTACGATAAGTTTTTGGATTGAAAGCTTTCATTCTGACACAAATTCAATTGTCTAGATTAGAGGTATAAACCAGATATATAGTGGTAAAGTGAATATTCTCATATTCCTTGGCTGCAGTAAGACTTTTGTACCACACTACTTACCTATCAATAAATTTTGTAAAAACACAACCTGAATCACCAAACTATCACCCAAGGGTATGATTAAATACATTATTTGCTAGGAATAATGTCCAAGGGCAGAATTGAACGTATAAAAAAACAAACAAACTACAAAGAAATTTGTGGTATCAGGAAATGTAGGAGCTGATCAGGGATCATTAAAGTACAATTTTGGAAAGAAATCTTGAAAGTTCATGAAACATAAGAATAAGTATTCAAATGTTATTATATCACATATCTAGCTACTAATTTGTATGTGAATATTGTTACATATAATATATACATAAATATATGTATATATGATATATATACATAAATATATGTATGTATACACATCTATTATAAGCATATTATTTTAAAATTGATATATGTGTGCGTATACTCAACAAATATAAGATTTTTCAAAGCAGTACTAAGAGTCTTTTTTTTAGTTTTAAAAATGTATAAAATGCATGCAGTGTAGACAGAATAATGGTCCCCCAAAGATACTCATGTTCTAATCCCCTACATTAACTTCATTGCCAAAGCACCTTGCAAATGTGATTAAATTAAGGGTATTAAAATAGCAAGATTATCCTGGACTGTCCAGCTGGGTCCCAGGTAATAACAAGGGTCCTTATGAGAACAACAACAACAACAACAACAAAAAAAAAAAAAAAACAGGAAGATCAGAGTCACGGAGGTAGATGTGACAATAACAGAGCTTAGAGACAAGAGAGGAAGAGAAGAGAGAAAGAGAGAGAGAGAGAGAGATTTAAAGGCGGCATGCTGCTACACGCCTGGCTTTGGTGATGAAGGAAGAACACACAAGGCAGTTAGCCTCGAGAATCTGGGAAAGGCAAGCCGCCTCCTGAGCCTCCCAAGCGAAAGCAGCCTGCTAACGTCTTGTGTTCAACTTCCTACTTCTAGCTTGGCAGGATAACGAACATGTCTGGTTGCAAGTTGCTGAGTGTGGGATGGTTTCCTGCATTAGCCATAGAAAGTGGAGACACACACACCGCTCTGTGTGCGCGTCAGTGAGCACGTGAGGACAGGAGGAGAGAAAATAAGAGGATGAAGGAGGAAGAGTTGGGGACAAAAGGAAAGGAAAAGAAAAGTAAAC